AATTAGGCTGCAGTTGTCTGGGTGCGCAAAGGTGAAGTGGCTGGTCTTGTCATACAAAGTTTGATGGAGTGTCAACTGGACAATATGGAGATATTTGCATCTTGAAAGCCGGACTACAAATGTGGATAGACAGGGAGAAACACACGCAAGCCTAAGACGTGGTAAGATACGATATTCCTCACTATATGAAGTGACTGATAACAAGATCTGTATAATGGATTGTAAAGAAATTCGTCAGGTGTTTATTTTGTAGACAATTAATCTGTATTTATAGTGTGATGGGATGACAGCACAATGATGTGTGTGGTCACTGGAAAGCTCCGGTCTTGCGCTCCGGTTCCGCTGTTTCACGTGATATGCGTGGCTTCTCGCTAATGGTCGTGGAGAATATCCATAGAGAAGAACGGGTGTGAATTTGGACGCACTATGTGTCATTACTTTTTAACCTATATGGTAAAAAAGCCTCTTGGATCAGCTGGAAACGTTAGTCATGTTGATCTTTAATGTGACTGCTGCGCAGTGGCGCTGCCTCATGTGATGTCGGAATAATCGGAAAAATGAGTTTCCGACCATAAAGCAATATTTCAGTGGAAACGGTTGACGACAAGCTTTTTGAACATTTTGAGTGATAAAATACAACACATGTGCTTTGTAATGTCCATGATGTCTCCACATTAGGACTTAAACACTCATGAACACACAATGAAGTAAGAACGACTTCCCAACATGGGAAATCGGACCATCCGAGGAGCACGTGAATGATACTTGGTGGTTTATGTATGACGAAAACACGTTGGGGCAAGCCCTCCCGGAACCCATAGAGATTGCATTGGAGTGCCTGCATTTAGAAAAACAAAGCATTTTACATGAAAGTCTATGAGAGTGAGTCGGGGCGATTTCCTGCCAGGCTGATATCGCCCCAGAGGGCCGGAACATGACTTCACACTGCCTCTGATTGGATATTCAGGGGCTGGATGAGCTGTTTCAAGTGAAAATGATCAGAATTAATATATTGTGTGTATATATGACAATAATGATGATGATGATAATCATACATTTATTATCATCTTTCTTTTCTTTTGTGGCTCAAGGGTGGGCGGCGCCCTATCGCCCTCTATTGGCCAGCCGCCCCTGTTCATATGTTCTGTTTAGTAAAGTAACTAAAGCTGTCAGATAAATGTAGTGGAGTAGAGCTTCAGTACTTCAGCAACACTGATGTCACAACTCATCCTCACTGTGACCTCGTCACATGTCCACGTTTGGTCATGTACTTTCCATGTCCACATGACGTCCGAGGTACCCTGGGTGTGTTGGTTGCATGTGCTGCTGCTAAAACTGACTGAATGCGTCTTTACAGCGACAGCACTAACAGTAGTTTTATATGTACACAATCTGCTTGGTGTTAAAGTGGTTGAGTCATGAGAGAACCGCTGAGGGAAAATGGCAGGACTGACACTACTGTTGATGTCTAACAGCCATCGCAGCTGACTATCTAATAGCTAGCAATAGGGTCACGTAACACAGGAAATGTAAAGACACAGTGACAGAGGACAAAGATGAGGCTGCTGCTGTGTGACTAAAAGTACAATATATTTACCTACCATCCATCAAAAAATTAACTTTCATGGCCTCCACCATTTCTGTAAACATTAGCCAACATGTTACAACTCGTAAAGTCTGAGCTTTAGGAAAATTTCCACTAACGAGGTTGAATACATCAAGAGGACGCGTTCATATGGACTCTTCTCATGACCACCGTAAACTGCTGGATACAAGAACTTCCCCCTGGACATGAATACAGCATCTGTCTGTCTAAACACTCCCCCAGCTGAAGACAGTTATATTGTACTGACAGTAACTGTACTTGTTGCAGTAGTGACACTGACAGTGACAGGGACAGTGACAGTGACAGGGACACTGACAGTGACAG